GTTTTCAGTTACCTGTTGTCAAGCATGGTCTGAAAATATTAAATGGAAAATTCCAGAAATAAACAATTCATAAATTTTACATTGTGTGCCATTTTGAATAGTGTGATGAAATCTTGAGCCATCCCTCTTTGTCCTGTTAAGATCCCCAACCATTGACATTGTCTGCTCCTCACATCCAACCATGGACATTGTCATGGCTTGGGATCCAGGATCACCCAAAGCAGATGACCCACCTTGTGAGATATATTCAGAAGGTCAATAGTGGTCTAATGCTATGTCATTCACCTCACTTTCTCATCAAGTAGACATGTTGTCATCTCACATAATCACAAGAAGTGTGAACACAATACCATAAGTTATTTTGGGAGAGACCATATTTGCATAACTTTTATTATAGTATATTGTTATAATTGCTCTATTTATTATTAGTTAATGTTGTTAATTTCTTGCTGTGCCTAATTTATAAATTAAACTTTATCATAGGTATGAATGTATAGGGAAAAATTAGGATTTGGTACTATTGCGGTTTTAGGCATCCACTAGGGGTCTTGGAATGTGTCCGCTGTGGATAAGGGGGTTTACTGGACATGACTGTAAGGAATTCAAAATAATACCCCACTTCCATAAGATTGGAAGTAAATGATAAAATGGGGTAGCAATGGGGTATTGTCATAGTCAACAATTCCCTGGCACCTCCTGACCTGATGAGTTGGAAGTATTTGCTTTCTAACTGGAGATAACCTCCACATAATTTAAGCATTAAAAGGTAATTATATTTATTATTGCAATGTCTGCTATGGGCAGAATTTTGTCCCTCAAAATTCATATGTTGAAGCTCTAATGCTCTTGTGACTATATTATAGATAGGGCCTTTAAGAAGGTAATTAAGGTTAAATGAGGTCACAGGGTAAAACCCTAATCCAACAGAACTGGTACCCTTTTAAAAGAGGAAGAGACATCAGAGATCTCTCTGTCTCTCTACTTTGTGAGGAAATAACCAGAAGGTGGCTGTCTGCAAGCCAGGAAGAGAGCTCTTACCAGAAACTGAACCTTGTTGAAACCTTGATCTTGGACTTTCCAGCTTCCAGAACTGTGAGAAAATAAGTTTCTGCTGTTCAAGTCGCCCTGTCTATGGCATTTTGTTATGGCAGCCCAATCAGACTAAGACGATGTCCAAACCTAATCTGATGGCTGTTTCATGTCTCTTATTACCCACAGAGGATAGGGGCAAGGGAATGTGGAGAAGTCAACTTGATGACAAATTGCTTAAGCCTACTGTTTACTTCCAAATGGTAGGCTAACTAGATTGCTGGCCTAATGCTATAAATATCCTGAATAGAGCCATTTCTAGCAACAGTCCATCTGTTCTCAGCCATCTGTTAGAAATAAGGAATCTGAGAACAGGAAGCTTCCTGGTGCTGAACAACTGTGACTTGAGGACCCAGTCCAGGCCTCCCTTCTCATACCTTTCTCTTTTTATTTCCCCAACACTGACTCTAGGCAACTGTAAAATCAGGACTGTACTCGGTGCTAAATGATGGGTGGAGACTAACTTAGGTCATTGCCATCTCTACCTAGATATTGATGGTCTACTCAAAGTACGGCTGTGCCCAAATTGTACCTTTAACCTGCTCTGGCCTAAAACTTTGCTGTGTGGCACTGAGCAGCCATTTCTACCCTGGTGCTGGTACAAATGAAGTGCTCCAACTATTGCACGACCCTTGGGAATGGGAAAGTGTTGATGTAGGATTCCCAACTAGATGGTGACCCTAGTTATGGGCAAAAATGCCATAAATATTTATGCAAGAAGAAATAATCCCTTGCTAGGTAGGAAGGAAACATCTGAAACCATGGCAGGTGGGTGCTGGTGCATTCTCATTGTCTTTCACTAGATCATCCCAGGAGAATTATCACTCAGGGTGCCCCAAGTTCTTAGATGCAACTCTCACAGGGAGTGGACCCCTCTGCTAATTTTCATGATACTGAATCTACCATCTAAAATAGGATGCAGTCAGAGAGAGCCAGCAGCCATTCTGGTGTCATTATCATTCTACAATATTCTACTAAGTCACATCACCCAGAATCTGCCAGTGTAACTGCCAGTGAGGGATGCTGGGTCCCTAGGCCTAGAAGGCCACACAGGAGAAATTCTCTTTCCACTGGGATAGTACTGGCTCCCTGATCATTGGAGCTGACTTGGGACCAATGTTGTAGTCATTAGTCATTTATTTCTTGACTTTTGCGTTGCATGTCCCAATGGTAGCCTTATTTGACTCTGTATGATGCTTATTCCCATCAGTAAGTAAAACAGCCACTGACTGGTTGACTCTGGCTATACATGGCAGTTTCTCTTCTGTATAACGTTCCCATCAGGGGTTCTTCCTTGTGGATGAATATCCTCCTCCGTTGGCCCCAGGCAAATGAGACCTGCACCCTACAGGAGACATACCTAATCATTCTTAGCCTTCCTGGGCTCTGTAGCCGTTATTTTTCCTCAACTCAAGGAAGCCATCTTTCTTTGGGTAGAAGTCATAGCACTCCTCCACTCTACTTGTAGTCTCATCTTTGGGTGATAAAACTCAGAAGAGTTTATTTAATATGATGTATGGCAATAATAATTCTAGAAGATAATAAGATAAAACAATGATCCAAGAGATGAGACAACATGAAATAGTCATCAGCTCCTGTATTTCATTTAAATTAAATTGAAATTGTACACAATGCACATTTGTTGATTAATTCATTGAAAGGTCAAAAGCGGTGCTAGTCATTAGAGATATAGAAATGAATAAGAAGAATAGTACCTGACTCCAAGGAGCTACCTATTAGTAGGAGACATATACTGTAAACAAATGACACAAAACACAATGTCATGTATAATAAAAGTATATGTAAAAAGTCAATTTCCAAGTACACATGAGTAAGAGCTGACTTGAGTCCATTTCATGTGAGAGGCTCCACATGAAGCAACAATGTGATAAAGTCACTGCAAGAGATAATACAGTCTTGGGCTGCATTAGTGGAAATACAGAATTCAGCAAAAAGATAAACAAACAAACAAATAACAAACACTGGACTAGGAGTCAGAAGCTCTGAGCTCAAGTTTTGGCTACACATTTCACTGTGTAACTTCAGCAAATTCTCATTCTCAGTTTCCTCATCTTTTCATAGGAACAATAAAGAACAATAAAGCTTAACTTGCCTCCCTAATTGTTGCTGGTAGTGCAAATTGATACAATTACTTTGGAAAAGAAATATCTAGATTAATAGTAAATTTTAAGAAGGATATTCTATTTTACCCAGCAATCCCATTTCTAGGTGTAAACACTGGAGAAATTTGCAAACACATACCAAAAGACTTGTATAGGAGATGCTTATAGCAGCATGTAGGGGGAAAACTGGAAACAAACCACATGTTGTCCTATACAGAAAAGAAAAATAAATTATAGCATATTCATATAGTGAAATACCATACAGTTGTAAAAATAAGCTGCTACTTGTAACAACTTGGATGATTCTCAAAAACTTAATGCTGAGCTAAAAAAGCAAGAAATAGGATATCAAAAAGATACATGCATCCCAATGTTCATAGCAGCACTATTTACAATAGCCAAGACATGGAAGCAACCTAAATGTCCATCAAAAGATGATTAGATAAAGAAGCTGTGTTGTATCTATACAATGGAATACTGTTTGGCCATAAAAAAACTGAAATAATACCATTTGTAGTAACATGGATGGACCTAGAGATTATCATATTAAGTGAAGGAAGTCAGACGAAGACAAATATTATAATATCACCTATATGTGGAATCTAAAATAATGACACAAATGAACTTATTTACAAAACAGAATTAGACACAGAAAACAAACTTATGGTTACCAGGGGGAAAGGAGGTAGAAGGAGATAAACTGGACAAACTGGGAGTCTGGGATTAGCAGCTACAAACTACTATACACAGAATAGATAAACAACAAGGTCCTTCTGTAGAGCACAGGGAACAATATTCAATAGTTTGTAATAATCTATAATGAAAAAGAAATGATAATGAATAGATATATATGAATCAATATGCTGTACACCAGAAACTAGCACAACACTGTATATCAACTATACTTAAAGAAAAAAGAAATAAAATAATACACATGGTATTATTTCACTTATACAAAGTCAAGGCTAATGAATTTATTAAATCCAAATGATAAACTAATTGTAATATATTATCATAAAGCTAGTTAATGTATTATTTAAGAGTTACATAGGCACATGTGATAAAATTATAAAGAAAGCAAGGAAATGATTGGCACAAAATTCAGGATAGTTGCTTACTCCAGGGGAGTGAGAAGCATCTAACTGGGGAAGAAAATACAGGATAATATTCAAAGATAATATTATCTTATTGAAACTGGATGGTGACACAGGGGTTTTCATTTTCCTTTAAAATTATCATATAATCATGACTGAGGTCATTCCAAAGAACCAAGTGTGGGTAGAATGTTCATAAAGTAGTACTTGAAGATGAAAGCTCCTTAGGCACTGATTGCACAAGTTATATAAAAATAATTTTATCAGGAAAAAAGGTTTAAGAAGAGTTAATGACTTCCAAGGCTCTTTATTGTTTACTTTCCAATAAAGATATGCTTTGATGCCAGGCACAAAGTGTCCACAGCATAAAAACCTAACCACAGTGTTTAAATAGTTGCTTAACAACTCTGAGAACTGAAAAAAAAAAAGAGCTATTAAGCTGATGCTTTTTGTGGTGATGGTCTCTATCACCCCGTTAGAAGACACAACATTATTTTGTCCTTATTGAGCAAAGAAAGTAGGAGCGGAAAGTGCAGGTTGAAGGTCCACAAAGTGGTGTTTGTAGGGGAGGAGATCTGTTGATTTACTGATTAGCTATATACACATCTAGGTTCAATGCTCTCCACTTGGAAGATATCCTTTGTGATTACCTGGTACTCAGATGGTATAAAAAGCAAATCCAGACTCTGCTAGACCAGTCCCAACAGAAACCATGACAAAGATTATTCTCCTCACAGGTGAGTCTGTGATTGGAGATAGAGCCTTATTCTTACACAATTTCTTTCCTCCTTTGGATCTGACAGCCATAAAGTAGCCTTCACAGATACCTCTATGCTTTTCTATTCTTCTCTCATCATTTCAAGTTTCCAAGAGAATCCTGACATGCTCAAATGAGTCTATCTTTTATTCTCTTAATCTCAATGGACTCTGGTAACATTTCTACCTTCTTTGATGCCACAAGCATGATCCTAAGACAAAAGTTAGTTTTCTTCCAATGCTTGTCTTAAACTTTTTCATCTCTTGTTGGGTTGTTCCCTTTTTTCCATTCATCTTCCATTTTAAGTTATTATTTTTATTCTCATGCCTGTGTCCTTGGTCTATCTTCTTCAGGGTTGAAAATCAGTAGGAAATGAGATAGAGTTATACCAAGTTATCTTTGTTCTACCATTTGAAGAATTATTTCTCTTTTTCTCCTCTACTGTCCTACTGGGCTGCTGATATATCATAAGACAGGTAGAAATTCAGTCACTTAAAGGAGTTGATTCAGTACATTGTTTAGAGCCAAGTTGTAGCCATAACTTATTAGTTGCTCTAAAGCTGTGATTTACAAATTTTTCATAGCTTCAGAACCTTTTCCAGATGAAACCTCTAGCTCAGTTTATAAAACAATCAGATCAAAAGTGCTCTGTTAGAAGCCAGGGAGCAGTATATGGAGTCTTATCTGACAGTTCCTAGTATTTCTCTTCTACTGCGAGGTTTCTTAAAGGTGGTTTTAAAAAATTCTAAGGCTCCCAGAGATAGCGAATTCATGGGTTTAGAGGATGCCATGTGTGTGAAGGCTGTACTCACTCCAGTTCAGGAAGGTGAAGCATGTGTGTATAGTCACTGAGTAGAGTAAATTTTGGGTAATTTCAGTAAGTAGGTCTTCCATAGATAGTAGACTTCAAACTCTGTATTCAATGACATTTATTACTGACATGGAATGGGAAAGAAGAGCGAACCATGCACATTTTCAACTAGGAGGAGGGAAGTGTAGACCTATCTCTTCACTGAAAAGCCTGCTCTTTGGCATAGCAACTAAGTGCCACTTGGGCTGTAAAACCCTATGACTTACAGGATGATGGCCAAGGCGTCAGAATTATATTCCACAGGATACAGTCAGTTGGTCCAGAATACATGTTTTTTCTTTTTCTCTAGGTCTAGCCCTTCTGCTGCATGCTCAGCTACGTAAGTCATGGACTCTGCATTTTATCCTTGACATAATCTTTTCCTACCATAAGCCTTGAATCTCTATAAATTATTCATAATGTAATCATCTGTTTAATGTATTAAATGTGACTTTTTTCATATTCCAAATATTACTTTAAAAAATTCATATCAAGAGATAAGCCATACTAGGGAAAGAAAAATACTGTCTTCTTCACAGACAGATGGGGAAAATCTATTATTTTGTATTGGCTTCTACTGCCATCCTCTTAAGCATGACAACCTGGGAGTTATAAGTGGGTATTCACTGGGCATCTTTTCTTAAGTGGTTTCTAGGCTTAGCCAGGATCCCAAAGTGAATCTGTCAAAGTTAAAAATAACCAACCTCAAATCAATGACTAGTTCTCAAATGAGAATCTGAACTCACTTGCAAGAGTGTTTCATACTAACCGCTACACAGAGATCAGGCATCTGAGGTAAAGGGAGGGAAACAGAGTCAGGGCTAAAACTCACAGCACATTTCAGTAGCACCTCAGTCAGGCCATTGTTCTTAACTTCTTTCTACCCTCAGGCTCTGCCTACCAGCTGACATGCTATTTCACCAACTGGGCCCAGTACCGGCCGGGCCTGGGAAGCTTCAAGCCTGACAACATTGACACCTGCCTGTGTACTCATCTGATCTATGCCTTTGCTGGGATGCGTGACAACAAGATCACCGCCATGGAATGGAATGATGTGACTCTCTACCAATCTTTCAACGGCCTGAAAAACAAGTAAGAGAAGGGGGAGATACTTAATTTGGTATCTCCTAAGTCAGTACATCTCAAACATTACTGTGCAAACAGATCATCTGAGATCCTCTTAAAATGCAGCTCAGATTCAGTGAGTCAAGGTGGGAACCAAGACTCCATATTTTTAACAAGCTTCCAGATGGTGCTGCTGCTTCTGGTCCAGGAGCTATACTTGAAGTATCAAGGATGTACATAACGTAGCACATTGCCTGCTCTAGCTAGTATTCCAAAATAGTTACGCTTCTTCCTTTCTCTGGCAATCTCTCTCTTTTTTTTCTATGATCCAGGAAACTGCAAACCTTCTTAGCTACTCACATCAGAGAACAGGAGGCAGAGGATACTGAAGATAAGACATAACATAGCCCAAGAAAGCAGAAGAGTTTGCTGTATTACTTTAGTAGAGCTCCATTTTGTGCAAAAATGAAACAAAGCAAACAGACAAAGACTCTGGTATCTTTTAATTTCTAATGTGTTTAGTTCGCTGTTTCTAGGAGAAGTAAGGCTAGAGGCCATTGCTGCCATCGGCGGTGGCACTATCCTGAATGCAGCCACTAGACTCTGAGTGATGACGCTTAAGAGGAGATAAACCCCTTCAGAGTGGTATTCTTAAAGTGAGATCCATTGACGATGCATCAAACTCTCATAGGGCCCTTGATAAAAATCTCAGTCCCTAACTCAACTGAATCACAATCTCTGAGAAAGGGGTTATAAATCTGGAATTCTGATGTTGTCCTTCAATTCTGATTCTTGTACTTCACCCTTATATAAACTGATGTTTGAGAACC